TAAGACAATTAAAATGAAATACAGTGTATTTTAGTAAATGAAAGCTGCTACAACATGGGAGTTGCACTTAGTACCTCATATGTTTACTGCATAGCATTGAACCTCTTTGTATGTGTTTGGGGGGGGGGGGCAAGTTTGAGTGGTTAGCATGCCAAACTGAATCAAAAAACACAGGGTTTCCATCCCATTGCTGCAAAATTCTACTCCACACTTTTTTGGAACCATGGGTGAATTATAACAGGGATGGTCAAATCTCACTTTTCAGTTAGTGATTGTTCTTGACTAGTTGTTTTACCTTTAGTCTGTAAGTTCAAAATTATGGGTGACTAGCTTAAGCATTTTTGAAATCCAGGTCAATGGTATCAGCAGAAGTGTAAGCTTGTAGCTTTGAAGAGCCACTAATATTGAACAAAATATTTAAATTTTTCAAATGCCCTGGTGTAGATCAGCATGAATATTTGAAATAATTATCTGTGTGCAAATCATCTGTGGCAAAGTATTTTCTCATTCCAGTATGTGAAAAGATAGTGGTTTCTAATAAACTAATGTAAAGAAGTAATAGACAAAATTATCAAAGTTTTGATTTGTTTTCATGTAAAAAACAGCTTTATATAATGTTTTTTTGAACTTTATTCTACACTACTTGTGGCTCTTCAAAGCTGCAGGCTTGCTTCTGCTGTTACAATTGACCTTAATTTCTACATTCCTCCACAAAATCAGATACTTGAAACACAGTGTAGAATGCTTCATACAAAATTAATCTCAAAGAAAAGTGTTTTTCAACCAGTATGAATTTGTTATTGAAATTGGGTTGTAAATAATAGAATTTCTAACTTTAGCTTTCCATTATCACTGATCAACTTGGACCATGCAATTCCATATCCCCTTATAATTACTTTGTAGCTCTCCAGTCCAAAGAAAACCTGACTTGCATCTGAAGACTTTCGGCATAAAAATTGTTTTTTTTTTATTTTTCATAAAGGGTACCTGATTTGACTTGTTTATTTTTTATTTTTGTATATAAACACGAAAAGGAGTAAATGCTGCATTTCTATTACTTTTCATGATTTCATCTTAGTTATCTTCATTTTAGCCATCAAACTTGTAAGTGTAAGATGTGTGTGATACAAAACCAACTCTGCTTGCATTTCAGATGTTTTTTTATCAATTTTGTACTAAATTGTTTTGAATCAAAATTTATAGCATATACTGCACCTCACTTAGTTTTAAGCTGAAATCTTTCGGTATGAATAATACTTGTGTGAAAAATTCTTCTTATGTAATATGTAATTTTCCCAAATATATCTTTTTTTTTATATATATATACCCTAGCAAGCTTAGGGTTACATAGGTTTAGAAATATTTACTTCTTCCACTTGCCCTTTGTTGACTCAGCAATAAGTCTGAGGCTTATCATGTTAAGAATTGGGTTTCAGTACCCATGTTGAGCACAGCACAGGTGTAACTTGAATAACCATGTAGTAACTGTCAAGTAACTTTTTCATAGGATTACAAAGATTTTCGTCTCACTTAAAATTAGTGTGAGGAAACTACTAGGTGACTTTTTAATAGGCTTAGAAATACTTGCTTCTCATACTTCAAATTAGTATGTGGAATAAAATAAGTAAGATCTTCAACGTTTAAAAATGCACAATAATTTATTTTATAAAGTTAAAAATCAAATATACAATTTAAGCTTTATACAATTAAATCTATATGTTTTGGTGGAAAACATTCCACCATCTTTAGAAGACCAGAAGAATTACAGGAAGTAAATAATTTGAGTATAATTTGCATTTTACAGTGCCCTCTACAAAATAGATTTCCAACAATTCACTTCTGTAGCATCCGGGCTTAATTCTCTGTTCAAAATCATTTTATGTTTAACACTCTAAAGAGATTCTCTTATGTTTAATTCATTTTTTAGCTTAACTTCTTTATGTATTTGAACCTTAAACCAATCAAGAGTTTGTCACAAGTTCTGCCAAGGCCAAATCAATAGTTTTTAATTTTTCTACAGCCTTTTTAGTGTTCATTAATTCGAAACTTCAAATTTCTACTTGTCTGTCCAATATAATTCAAGCCACAACAACTGCAAGAGATTTTACTTACTTCACATTTATCCTTTGATTAAATTTTATCTTTAATACCATTAATGATATTCATTAGTTTTAATTGAGGAGTAAAGACTAATAGACAAGTAATGTTTTTCATAAACACCTTACTTATTTTGATTGACATTGACAGAACATATAGTAAACATATTCTTTTTTTATTATTATCTGTAGTTTGGTATATTCTGAAATTTATCATTTTTACAGTGTTTTTTTTATAAGTCCTATTTATAATACAGTATTCAAAACCCTTATCAGTAGCTATATATTTTAAATAATTCAGTTCAAGCAAAAACTCTTCATTATATGTACCCTATGACTTACCTATGAATAAATGGTGAAAAAGAAGACATTTTTTATGACAGTGGGTGACACGTTCTTGTGTGTGTGGTGGCATGGCAACTGAGAATGGCTTCCTGAATACCAAAGTAGACAGAGTGCTATTCTCTCTCTCTCTTTTTACCAAAAAATTCAAACAACCCCCATCTTCCACTTCTAAAGTGAATTGTATTGTGGGGCTTATAGAATTTAGATGTTCCTAGAAATCAATTAATGTGTCACTGTCAAGTCACCACACCAGAAATGTGACATCCTCATATCTTACCCACAACTCTGGTTTTTTCACCAATGTTTCTAGTGCCTGAGTTTCAACATCAAACATGATCATTTTTGCTAACAGAGGTGATAAAGGTGACCCCATAAAGAAGCCTTTATTGTGTTTGTACGTTTCATCACCCAATTTGAAATAATTATAATTTACACATAATATTTATTAATTTTATAATATCATCTACTTCTAAACATGAAAAAAATTTTGCTGGCTAGTAATCTATTTTCAAAACAACATAATACTTCTATTGGTACATTTGTAAACAATGAAACTAATCTGTCATTTTCTTGTCTTGATATTTTTAATCTTATTAATAAATTCTAATGAATTCTTGACTGTAAAATAGTGAGAATTTGCTAAAAAAGAAAATTTTGAACAATAAACTTTTAAATAAAAAATGATAATAATCCTCTGTTATCAACGATTGGGCAGAATGGTATCCCAGTTTTATGTACTTTCAGGAGGGCATGCAAATGAGGTAAAATAAAGTAAGACAGTATAAGATTTCTTTGTTCATTCATTTGATGGTAAGGCAAGTTTTTACAACTGTTTTTACTTTACTCAGTATTATATTCATCAGATCTTTCTTTATTTCCGTGTATGCCCCATCATTCAAAATATTTTTAATATTATCCCTACAATTGCTTTCATCTAGTATAGCAATCTGTCCTCCTTTGTCTGCTTTAGAAATATTTTTTATTAGTTGAAGTTGGGTCATCTCATGATTAGGTAAGTTATTTTTTGACTTTTTGGTATCAGAAATAAGTAATTTAGCTATATGCATTCAAACAGTATCCTTTATAATATTATCATCAACTTTAAGTTGTTTCAAACTAGTTTCAAATGATTTAATTATATCCTTGTTCATTAACATGCTGTTCTTTACAGAAAAATTCAAACCCAACTCAAGAACTTTTATTTGTTCTGGTATAATATTTTCTCTGTATAGATTTATTATTCTTGAATTATTCAGCAGTTTAGTATACTTTTCATGTAGTGCAATATTCATATTCTCTAATTTATTTTTAGGACATACATCTTTATTAATTAAATTATTTAGTTTCTTTTCCAAGTTATTCTTATGTTTCAATCTTACCTTTTCCCATTTCCACCAACTTGACGCATCAAATGTATTCCATAACAACTTATGTATATTCCTAGCTATTTTTAAGTGCAGATAGTATAATTTTGCTTCACTTTTTGCACTTTCGCTCCTTTTGTTCTTGATGATATTTCTAATAATTCTATCAGCCCCACAATACAATTCACTTTAGAGGTGGAATTTGGTAAAAAGAGAGAGAGGCTTTCTGTCTACTTCAGTATACAGGAAGCCATTCTCGGGTTACCATACAAGATTGTGTCATATATTGTCACAAAAAAGTTTCTTCTTTTTCATCATTTGTTCTTATGACTGTTAAGGTCTTATCATATAATGAATGTCTTATATTTGAACTGATTTATTTAAAGTATATAGCTTTTGATAGAGGTTATGAACCATATATTATAGAATTTGTATAAAAACACTAATAAATTTCAAATTTCAGAGTTTTTAATTGTATATATTACTTTTAACTTCAGACAGTAAATTATTGGGCATTTTTAAACATTGAAGTTCTTACTTATTTTATGAAATCTATGATAAAAATGGTCATAGAAAATATTAATATGTAGAAACTGTCTGGTGACTTTTTCATAGGTTTAGAAATATTTACTTCGCATACTTGAAAATAATATATGGAATTTGCCAGGTGACATTTTATATGTTTAAAGATATTTAATTCTCAAACTGCCTACAGTGGCACAGCAGTATGACTGCAGACTTATAATGCTAGAAACCATGTTTCGATACCCATGTTGGGAAGAGCACAGTTAGTCCATTGAGTAGCTTTGTGGTCAACTACAAGCAAACTTCTCACACTTAAAATTAGTATGTGGAAACTGCCAATTGTCTTTTTTCATAGGCTTAGAAAGATGAACTTTTCACATTAAATATATTGAAATTGCCAGATGATATTTTATACAGAAAATAAAATGTTGATGCTAATGCTTTATGACAGTATTATCTTTTACATTTAATTGTTGAGTTAAGAGAAAAAATTTTAATTTACCAGTTTTGTTAGAGTGAAGATCCAATAAAATTCACATGGTGATTACTCTCTGTGACTTTACTTAATTTTAGTTCTAAATATATATATATATATATATATGAAGTCTTTATTATTGTTTTATTGACCTTAAATTACTTTTTTTTTTCTCTTTCACTCTTGTGTGTTTAGACTTTGGCTAAAGTAATATCTGCTGTACTGCGATTTAGTGAAGACCAAACTCAGCAGATACTAACTAGAGAAGAAGCTCGTCAGTCAATGGTAAAGTTGCCATTTATATTGTTCTAGGTTGATGAAAGCTAGTTGTTAAAATAGATAATTTAGAACCTGTATTTTTTTATTTTTTCACTTATTCTTTTGTATTTAATAATTCTTGGATTATTGTAAGAGATGTGTTTTGATTTTTAGGAAAGTAATGAAAGATTTCATCATAACAGAAAGCATTATGAAGTAATTTGAATTAATCTACACCAAGGCATTGTGCTTGTACTTTTATAGTGTATAATAATGTTGCATTTTCATTAATCTTACCCCACTGATTGAATCTGGTGGCCCCTGGTGTTTGTTACTGTTTACTTTTGTAATCTAAAACTTATAAATGGTTATTATCATATATTTTGTGTCCCATTTGGTTTTGAGAAGAAACCAAAATAACACACCAATACTATAATAGGAAGAACATAAATTATAAACTATTGCTTAAATGACTGAAATTGCTGTGTAACATTATTCTGATAATTATCCTTCATATACAATAAAGACCATACTTGATTGAGCATAAGGTGAAACAGAAATATTGTTGTGATGTATGTCCTGTGTGACATATTTATAGTCAGTTTACCAGATTTTAAGAGAATAAAACAACCTTCTTATGACTTGTATATTTGTATAAAATTGCAACTATCAATATATTGTGTCTCCTGTTATTATTTAGTAAAGTTAGAACTTGTAAATAATTACTTAAGCAAAAGGAAGGAAATCAGTTTAAGTATAATGGATAAGCTTTTAGCCAAACTCAACTAGAGTGTAATTGATAAAAATAAAGTGCTTAATATTTCTGTTGTTTATTAGCAGTGTAAGATATTAAACATTTATATGTGTGTGTGTGTGTTCAAAATTGCAAATTTAGATTTTCTTAAGTTCTTAGAGCATAAACTTAAGTTTCATTGATTAAATGTACTCAGAATGTTTTGAGTGAGAAACAAAGAATGTTTTCCATTAGGACCTTGTAACTGAATTAAATGGAATGATTAAAAGCTCCATAACTAATTTTACTCCTAAAAGGAGTAACATTTTTTATATTTCTCCTTGTAGAAGTAACCCAGCTCTTCAAGTTCCTGCCCTTTGTAAAGAGTGCTACAGCCATTGGGTAGGGAATAATCTTTATGATGATCTCTGTCTAAATTATAAAAAAGATGCTTGAAACATTACAGTTTATAATCCTGTGCTCTGTAACTTGTTTTCTGCCATGTTTTGCTTTTTTTTCCCTACTCTTTGAAACTTTGAAATACATAGTCTTACAAATATTTAGGGTAGGATTGAAGACTTGAAAAGATAAGTTAATAAAACTTAGAATTACACAGTAGCAGGAGAAAATTCATGTATTAATACCCTTGTTTAAAAATATAAAACCACAATACCTTGTATTGTGTTTGAACAAGTAAGTCTATATAAGAAAATAACAAAGAAAACCATACCTTGGACAATGGCAGGGAAAACTACCATTACGTGGCAGGCTGTCATAATATAACATAATGCTTAGGGACCACAAGGGACTTGTTGGTCCATCTTGGCTGTCTCACTATGAAATAAATAAATTTGGAAAAAAAAATTCAAGAAAATAAAAATCTTAAATCTAGCCTTTATCATTCATATAGTTATCAAACTTTCTCTTTTACTGCCTCCACAACATCTGAAGGCAACCCATTCTATAGGCCAACCACCCTGTTAAAAAAATAAAACTGTCTTAGCTGAAAATGACTCCTACCTTCCCAAAATTTATATATGTGTCCCCTAATTCTACTATTCTCACCATTAAGTATGAAAAAAGATGATGCATCAACACTATCAATTCCCTTTACAATCTTAAATACCTCAATAAGATCCTGTCTAAGTCTTCTTCTTTCAAGAGAAAACTATTTCAGAAATCTTTACTCTCTCATTATGGGCTTAGTTCTAGGGACTGACTTTGTAACCATTTTGTGCTTGTTATAGTTTCATATTATAACTTTTAACACATTATACGTATCTTCACTGAATTTTGTAGATTATCAGTAAACAAGTATCAGATTTTTTAAATTAAGTTTTAAGATTTTTTAAGTTATGATTTGCTCATGCATTTTTTTCTTTTCAAATGTTGACTATCCAACATGCATATAGTAGTTTTGAATTTAAGATTAAAAATACTTTTATGCATCAGAAAATTGTTAATATTCTTATGCAAAATCCTTATAACCTCCAGATAATTATCAAACGTTTTTAGAAAAAACTTTATATTTTATTTGTTATTTTCACTATTGTATCTCTGTATGGGTTTGGTTGATTTGAACAACCTCATAACCACCATAAGAAATTAGGAAATAGATATAAATTATGCTTTTTTCCTTCTATAACAACTGCAAGTTATAACACGAAACCACAAATGTTTAGTCTGAATAGTTTAAATCTCATAAAATTATACATCTATATATATTTATTATTTTTGTTTTATTGACCTTTCAGCAGTGTGTGACTAACATTACAGAAGTTGCAATGATGCAGCACATGTGCACTCATGATACCATATCCAATAGTATAAAACTGGCCTTTACAAAGTGACCTGTCTTGTCTTTGTTCTAGTGGACCAATATTTTGTAAAATACAGTCATATTTTGGTTATAACACATTATATTAGTATATATATTATTACTATTTGAAACTTAATTCTTAAATTTCAGTTCTTTTTTTAAACATAGAACAGTAAATACAGAAATATAGAAAACAATGATCTCTACTACTTGTGATTGTAAAGAAGTTTGTACTAGCTTGCCTGCACCCTGCATGCTAAGCCTTGTCGAATTTTGCACGTGTAGGATGTAAAAAAAATGATTTTTTAAGTTTTATATATATATATATATGCAATTTGAAATAAAAAAAATTATAAAATACTCTATCAGTATTGCAGAATTCCACTATAATTTATTAGGCTTACTAAATAAGCTGTTATTTGAGTTTTTCAAACAGCATTTTCTCTTCTTCCGAGATTTGAGACAAAAGAAATGATTTTGGGAACTATCCACCTTCAAGAGCCTGAGAAAATCGTGTGGGGGAAATTCTGAGCTTTTTATTGGTTATAAGTCCATGAGATAGTGAAGTGAGTGTACATAAGGAAGAATTTCAAAAAATGGAAGAAGTAGGTGGGGTCACTGTGTTTGATTTGCAAAATATAGTGATATCTCAGCAAATAGAAAAGAAAGTTCTTATTGTACATTCTAGCTCATCAATATCAGTAATTTGAGTTTTTAATTCGTAAGAAAATCTAGACTTTGCGTCTGGACATCACAAGCATGTAATTTGAACCAAAGCTGCATTCAACATACAAAGTGACACACAAAAATCCATATTTAGGATTTTTTTTATTATTTACTTTTAAATTAAGAAACTAACTAATGTATAAGACTTAAACTTGAATTACAATATACAATTTCATACCAAACGTATTGACATACATTCATAAAATAGTAGTTCAATAAAATTTTGAATGTAAGTCTACAAATGTGATGGCATGACCCAAGTGATATGGTTGATCTTTCCTCATATAATAACCTCTCCATCCCAGGCACCATTCTAGTAACCCAATTCTAAACACAATATTCCAAATGTGGTCTAACCAGTGACCTGTACAATGAAAGTATAACCTATTTAGACTTGTTTCAATATTTCTATAGATACAACCTAAAATCCTATTTGCCCTACCACTAGCAACAGCACACTGCTTGGATGGCTTAAGAGGCTGATTGACTATTACACCAAGATCCCTTTCCTTCATAACACTGTTTAGGTTATTCCCATCCAAATTATACATGTAATTCAAATTATGATAACCCACATGTATTATTCTGCATTTATTATAATTAAAACCCATCTGACATTTATTTTCCCAACTCACTAATGATCTAAACCCTTTTGTAAATCAGGAGCATCCTCTTCACAGCTGGCAACACCCAAGACCTTAATATCATT